TATCACCCACTTTTCATAATCCAATCAGTATCCTAAATGTAATATCTGTGCCACATTTTTGCCTGTTTACTCTGTTTCGTCCAGAAATAAAGCTGCAAGGAGCAACCAAGCGGCAAGCGCGGAAGAGGTAAAAATGTCAGTTGTAATATTGAACAATTAAAGACGTTTCTAGACTATTTCAGACAAAACGGCTGATCAAATTCACTAGTGATAGGATTTATAGATGTATTACTTTTAACCAATAGGTGGTGCTGTTGTCAATCTCATCTAAATGTGGGAGGTGGAGAAGTTTGGAGTCAGTATTTTTTTTAGTATTGCAAAGTAATGGTGCAGTCGCACTAGATTTTGAGCATGTGAAATTCTTTCCATATTTATTCTGTCCATAATCGCTGCATATTTTACATTTCTGTACAGAGAGATCATGTTTTGATCATCTATTGGTCTCACGTAATCACATGATGCGATTGCGCAGGTCGGAGTTTATGCAACTTAACCTTTTGAATGTAGTAACTTGCGAAACTTGTCAGACAAGCGTGCGTTTCCAGTCTGCCCCGTGCCAAGTCTATGAGGCGAAAAGTGCAGTCTGACCGCAGCTTTAAGCCTCAGATGCATTGTTGGCAAAAATTTAACTGGATATCTGTGACGATTTGCCAGTCTAATTTGGTGGAAAACAGAATGACTATATAGGAGATTATATTAAATATTATTTTTGACCACAAGGAAACTTGAGTACCTTTAGGTGCTAGTGCTGAAGAGACATGTCTAGTATCAATGCATAACATGTAGCTGTTTATAGTACAAAATAAAAATTTAAGCTTAAAGAGACTTTAACTTTAAGCTATTTTACATATCTGACTACTAGGTGACACTGTGCAGGTTGTAATACACCTTGCTTGCTTATGTCGAGTTCACTCCGCACGATTTTAGCCCAGATTTTTGCTTGCTGACAGGAATCGCTGACAAAAGCCAATCGGTGGCAAATCAGAGCCTCTTCGTGCAATTGACAATCATGCATTGTGGCACAATGCATCAGATCATTAGTTTGACTAATACAGCATTTCTCAACCCTGTTCCTGGAGACACACTAACAGTGCATATTTTGGATGTCTCCCTAATCTGACCCATTCATTTCAGGTTTTGGAGTCTCTTCTGATGTTCTGGTGAGTTGATTCAGGTGTGTTTGATTAGGGAGAGGTTGAAAATGTGTATTGTTGGTATGCCTTCAGGAACAGAATTGGGAAACACTGGACTAGTAAAGCGTTAAGAATTTTGCGTTTCGTGTAAACTTTCCGTAAACAAAATTAATCAAAATTTAAATCGTGAGATGCAATCGAAATGTCATTTTAGTTTTTTTTTACACAGTTTAAAAGTTGTTTGTTTTTAACAGTTAAAATGTTTGTTTTATTTAAAAATATACTTTCTCATGCTCATCTAGGCTTTAGTGTGGCATGAAAAACGTTTATCATCAATATTGAAAACATTTGGGTTCGAATTTCGAACATTTTACAAATAAATGCAAATAGTAATATTTTGTAACATTATAGTTATGTTCACTGTTGCTTTTTATCAGTTTAAAGGCCCTGTGAAGTGCTTTGAAATGTGCATTTTTTTAATTCGGTGTTTGACGTAATCTCCACTGAAAAACAAAAAAGGGCTGGACACAGAGTAGCTCCTCCCCTTTAAAACACACCCATAGTGTTTAGTTTTCTTACAGCTCTGCCAGTGAGAGTGGTAATATCAAGTGCGTCTTGAAGGGGGCGGGGCATGTCACATACTGTTGAGCATTTGATTGGTCAAGATTTGATGAGAAACTGAATTATGAGCTGACGTGGAAAAAAAAAACGTTGATCCATTTAAGCGGATGTGACAAACTAAAAGCTTTACATGTTTATATCAGTTTTATATCTTCTGAACGCAAATTTTGTCAGTTTTGGGGCACACTAGCTTATAGGTATCTTCGAAGAATAAAATACGAATCTAAAATACTAAATTTTAGATTATTTTAACTTCACTGGACCTTTAATGTGCACTGATGTTCTAAAAACAATAGTTTTTTCTTATTATAATTATAATCATACTGACTCCAAACTTAAAAATGGTAAAAAAAAGAGGTTTGTAGGTGCCATTTTATGGTAACATTTCTAAACAACCAACAATAAGTTATTATAAAAAGGCTGTACGACTAAATAACAATATAAATGGCCACGGTTTAATAACACAACTATTAAAATCTAAACTAAGTTACGATTTTGGTTCAATAAATTAAGCTACGTCAAACAAGAAACATTAATTGGAAGCACCATTACACACACACACACACACACACACACACACACACACACACACATATTAGAAAGGAACACTAAAATGTGCTCTAGCTTGACATTCAACACATTACTCACAGTGTAAAAGCTCACGACCACAAAAACAAGTTACGGCAGTCATCTTCAAGCATATCCGTCCTCACAGTTCCTCAAGTAGCTGCGATACAAACGTGTCATCAGTGAGTACGTTTACATGGACATCAGATATCATTATTCACCTTATTCTGAATAAGGCAAGATTATTATTGAGGTTTTACATGATGTTAACACTTTGATGTTCCAGTTTTACATGTTATGGATTGATTAATGGCATATCACAGTTGGTGTTGTTAAGACGTTTAAGTTTGTCATGAATATAGCATTTAATTCTGACATGGTCTTAAACAATAAATAAAAAGTTTACATGTCGTCATACATTTTTTTTATTTTCATTTTATAATTTAATTTGAATCGTTATGGCGCGATACTTCCGGTCCCATTCACTTCCATTCATTTTTAGATGTTAAAAACGATTTTGTTATGCTGCTTGATGATGCAAACCGATATTTTCTAATTATATTATTTTACTTTGTCTGCATATTCATGAACACACTTGTTTGTAGAGCAAGCAGTTTGACCATTTTCTGCGGTTTATTATTCCTAGCCATTTCTCCCATAGGCAACTGAAATGAAAGGTCTACAACAGGGGTGCTCAAACTCAGTCCTGGAGGGCCGGTGTCCTGTACATTTTAGTTCCAGCCCCAATGAAACGCACCTGAATCAGCTTATAGATGATTAGGCATTAAAAAAGCGAGCGATTGCTCCATGTTTTACATTTCTGTCCAGAGAGGTCATGTTTTGATCCTCGGTTGGTCTCATGCAGTCAAGTGATGCGATTTTGTGATGCGATTTTCACTAAACTTGAACTCTGCACCGCAGCGACCTGCGAAACTTGACGCATAACCCTTCGTTTCCGGTCTGACGCATTTGCGTGCGTATGCATGGAAGTCTATGGGAGGAAAAGCCCAGTGTGACCGCAGCTTTAGTATACTAAAACTTCCAGGCAAGCGTGTTGAAGAAAGTTGGAGCTAAACTATGCAGGACACTGGCCCTCCAGGACCAAGTTTGGACACCCCCGGTCTACAACAATCGCAAAAACAAGCATTAAAGAATAAGGTCAATACAGTTTTCAGATTTGACCACATTCTCATCCTTTTATTTACTTGTTTGTTTTCATTTTTGGCTTTTGTTTTTGCCTTATCTGCTTTCTGGAACCATTCGTCACCGAACTCAAACCCTGTCATCACGCTCAACTCAGCTCTGCGTCTTTAATTCTTGACGTTTGCGGCGAGCCACAGGACAAACTAGTAATAGCAGAAAAGCTGTCCGCACGAACTAAGCGGTCAACTGGTAAGCGCGAAAAGGAACGGCATCACCACCCCTTATCATTCGTTTTAAAGATGAAACGCAGCCATATGTTCCTCTGGCTACATAATTCGCAATCTCCAGAAATGTATATAGGGCTACATTTTCAGAATGAGCCTATGTTGGATACTTCTCGTCTACCGTTTTTCGAATACTATGAATTTAGATATACTACTTTGCTCGCATGTTATTTTTTTATATTGTATGTGATTTTGGAAGCACCTTTTGTTCGTATGGTTTGACTAATCAAATGATTTTCTGGGTTTTGTTGAAATATTTTTCTGATGATTGTCTGGTTAGAATTTCGTTACATCTCTAACATCAAAAATGTAATTGCAAAATTGCAACAAAAAAAAAAATCATAGGATGCAATCAAATGATGCGACTAAAAGAGGAATAATCAACGTGATTAAGATAATAAAAAGTCTCTGTTTAAATGGTAGATTCTTAATCTGAGTTATTGTTGTCCATGTAAACATACTGTAGTGACCATGAATACGAATACTGTAATAGTAAATACAGTTTATGTCAAAATTACTCCTCTCTTGTGAATTTTTTGATTTCTTTTTAAAATATTTCCCAAATGATGTTTAACAGAGCAAGAAAATTTTCACAGTATTTCCTATAATATTTTTTCTTCTGCAGTAGGTCTTATTTGTTTTTTTTCAGCTAGAATAAAAGCAGTTTTTAATAAAAAAAAAAACATTTTAAGGTCAAAATTATTTGTTTTGATTGTCTAGAGCAGGGGTTCTCAAACTTTTCAGCCCGCGACCCCCAAAATAACAATGCCAGTGACTCGCGACCCCCAATATCCTCTGAGGTGGTTATAAATACAGAAACCTTGCATGCAATGACGCAGACGCACCATTTAAATTTGTGTCAGTGCTTTAAATGTGCCAGAAAGTATAACCTGATGTTATAAAATCAAAATGCATCTGACGCTATTGCTGCCTTTACTATAATGTAATTACCCCAGGGGTCGCAATCCAATAGAACTAGTAACTATAAGCTACTATAGTAACTATATAGTATAAAGTAACTATAAACCACTATTTCTATTTTCAGTATAGTTATGGATAAAATATGTTAATTCTTATGGTTTAATAAAAATAAATAGATTTTTGGAAATCACCAGGCGACCCCCCTTCATTGCCCGCGACCCCTCGGGGGGTCTCGACCCCCACTTTGAGAACCACTGGTCTAAAGAACAAACCATCGTTATACAATGACTTGCCTAATTACCCTAACCTGCCTAATTAACCTAGTTAAGGCTTTTAAATGGCACTTTAAGCTGAATACTAGTATCTTGTAAAATATTATGTACTAAGAGCTAATAATTCTGACTTCAACTGTATCTTAATTCGATTTACGTTTGCCTCAAGTATGACTTTAACTGATATTAAAATAATTAAAAACTCTTAGACGGAATCTTGCCTTAATTGAGTGAATATTGTATTGTTGTTGTCCATGTAAACGTACTGTGTGACTCTCAAAAGTTCAAGTAGTGCAATTCATATCTTAATCCTGTTTCTTTAGCGTATGGGAGTCTGGATGGTGTTGCTGAGCCCCAAGTAGTGCAGGTTCTCAGCGGTGGGCAGAAAGAGCCCGTCTGTGGGCATGAAGCTCTGCTGGTAGTCTGGGTTATCCAGGTTGGCACACGGGGAGCGCGGGAGAGTCGCACAGGAGGTGTTCAGGTACTCCGGGCCCTCGGGTTTATTAGTGCAGCTGTATGTGTCTATGTAGCCGTTCTCTGTCTGTTTGTGGGACGGACCATCGTAGATTGGGTTTATCGTATTGCTTGTGGTTATGTCTTGGTTCATGTACTCTGTAGAAGATTAGAAGAAGCAAATTTAATTGATGCTAAAGTCTATTATTTTTATTTAAGGAGAAAAATGCAGTTATAAGAAAAGGATTTGAATAAATCTAAATCATTCAAAATATATATTAAAAATATATATATTTCATTTTACTTCAGTTTTTTTATTTGATTTGATTGATTGATTCAATTCAAACAGAAAAATCATACACAAAACAATTCTTTGAACAAAATACATCTCCTCATGGTCGAAATAGAGCGGGATGAAGCACAAGCTTTTTCTTCTTTTGCTTATGTCTTGTTTTTACATGAGACATATGAGCTTTACATGAGACATGTTTTACCCTTTTGGCATCTTTGACATATTATATCTTACATTTTATACCATAGACCCAAAAAAATACATAGCACTGCAAATAGCCATTAATTGAAGTTTCATCATACCTTACTCATGTTATTTTTTTTCAATCACCTTTATCATTATATTCCTTTAATAATATATATTTATACAACTTTTAAAATTAATTAATATCCTGATATTTTTTGAGAATCTGTTCTAGACTGTTCCTTAATTTCACACATACACAAACTTTTAAAATTGTCCTTGTTTTAAACCTCCTAAATTTTGTTTTTCTCAGATTATACCCCCCTTGTCTTTCTCCAAATACTTTTATATGCATTTTGGAAGTAATGTATTACTAGCTTTAAACATAAATTGTGCTGGTTTGAATTTAACCAAAACATTGAATTTAAGTATCTTCAATTTAAAAAGTAAAGGATTTGTATGCTACAAAGACCCCACAATTAATCAGTCTAATGACTTATTTTGAACTGTACAAAGGAATCGTAAAGTAATTTATATGAAATCCCCCAAATTTCAACACAATAACCTACATATGGCAACATAATGATTTGTTGCCATCTGATATTTGTATCCACAAATAGTATTTAAAGGCAAAAAAATAATAAGTTACACAAATTATTTATAATTTATTATTATTATTATTATTATTATTATTATTATTATTAATAATAGACTAGAATGGTTAAATGTACATTTTTATGTTTCATCATCTATTGTTACTAAAATAGAAATGAATATTAAACATTATATAGAAATATTAAAACAAAACAATATTTACAATATTAAAACTGAACTAAAAATAAAGATATAAAAATAAAAACTCATTTTCAAATATCAGTAAATGCTTTAACGGTATATATAGGAAAATCTAATATTATTTACTCTGGTCAGTTCAATAAAACCTCTTTGAAGCTAATAGTAGTAAATGTAAAAAAAATTAACAACATTATTATTATTGTTATTCTCTTTTTTAAATATGTGCATGTATAAATGGTTAATGGAAATATTTGTAAATGTTTGTTTGCATATTTTCATATACATTATGTGTAATTGCATTGTATTGGTTTAGTTATGTGGATTTTATTATTATTTTTAAATGTATATGTCTTTATCAGTATTATTATTTTTTATTTATTTTATTTTTTTGAGGTTTGTTCTTAATGTGAAATGCTTTAAATAAAGTTTTGAAACATTATTATTATTATTAAATGCAGATAAAAAAATCTAAGCAAATTACAAGCAAAAAATGTAAGTTGCTTCATACCTCATATTTAAGGTTGTATTAAGAGTTGTATTAAGGTTGTATTACTACCTGGCAGCATGAGGTCTTTCTGCGTGGGGTCTGTAATGTAGCGTAGCATCTCACCGTTCGTATAGTCATCCTGAAAACAACACACAGCACAGCAGTATGAATGCAGATGTCTAATGCAGTGTATTTGTGTTGATAACAGAATGAATGCTGATGTTGTGCTGACAGGGGAGCAGTGATGCTGTGGCTCAGTCTGCTGGCTCTGGCTGAAGATTCTCTTGCTGGGCAGCAGATACTCCTCTGCATCCACCACACCGGTCATGTCTTCAGTGCTGATCCACGAGCGGAAAAACCTGGAATCCGTTGGGCTCGGCTGATACATATGATCATCGCCCTGAGGATGAGGACAAGTGCACAATAATTATAAATGCTTATGTTTATGATAATAATGTTTATGTTTACTGTTAAGAAATAGCTCTTTAAACCATTAGGAAATAGTTTGCTCTGATAATTAAATGAATTAAATGAATAAATAATTTAAACATACGTTTAACCACCCCTATAACATTTAGTAATTTAGGAGATGCTTTTATCCAAAGCCATAATCAGAGGTTAGTGTAGGTCAGAATACACTCAATAATACTTCAACTTAAAGAAGTTTAATTAATAATTTAATTCAAAATATACATTTAGTTTACTGAGGCATATTAGATTTGACCCCTGAATTTGCACCCTGCCTATAGACTTGGTCGGAGATAAAAACATCACTACCATTAGAATCCATTAGAGTGAATGTACGGAGATCTTGTTTGGTGCTTTATCTTAATTAATTCCTTCATTTTCCTTTGGCAAAGTACCTTTATTAATCGGGGGTTGCCACAGCACAATGAACCTCCAACTTATCCAGCATATGTTACATATATTGAATAGATATGTTATATATATATTGAATAGATAATAGAAATAAATAGGTTTTAATGTTGATAATGTCCCGCATGTAGTGTGTTTTGGTGATGGTTATGCTAGAAGTCAGTGTACTGCCGGACAAAAAGCATCCTTGTAAGATTATGCCTCAACTCATTCACCAGTATAAGAATTATTCGGTGGATCAATTAATAGTAACATTTATATTGAAATGGCTTTGATTAGTTAATCAAATAGAAATTTGAATCAAGGGATACTTAATCTGGCAGGGGTGTTATTTTTGGGGTCAAAAAGCACAACTGTAATTGTAATTTGATGCAAAGATGATATAATACATTTGTTGAATGCATGAGTGTGTGTGTGTGTA